GCAATTCTTAAACTTATAGCATTCAACTTGTCAGCCATTCTTAAACTTATAGCATTCCACTTGTCTGCAATTCTTAAACTTTTAGCATTCAACTTTTCTGCCATTCTTAAACTTTTAGCATTCAACTTGCCAGCAATTCTTAAACTTATAGCATGCAACTTGTCAGCAATTCTTAAACTTATAGCATTCAACTTGTCAGCAATCTTTGAACTTATAGCATGCAACTTGTCAGCAATTCTTAAACTCATAGAATTCAATTTTCAGCAATTCTTAAACTCATAGCATTAAACTTGTCAGCAATTCTTAAACTCATAGCATTCAATTTGTCAACAATTCTTAAACTTATAGCATTCAACTTTTCAGCAATTCTTAAACTCATAGCATTAAACTTGTCAGCAATTCTTAAACTCATAGCATTAAACTTGTCAGCAATTCTTAAACTCATAGCATTCAACTTGTCAGCCATTCTTAAACGTATAGCATTCAACTTGTCAGCAATTCTTAAAATCATAGCATTCAACTTGTCAGCAATCTTTAAACTTATAACATTCAACTTGTCAGCAATTCTTAATCTTATAGCATTCAACTTGTCAACAATTCTTAAACTTTTAGCATTCAACTTGTCAGCAATTCTTAAACTCATAGCATTCAACTTGTCAGCAATTCTTAAACTTATAGCACTCAACTTGTCAGCAATTCTTAAACTTATAGCATTCAACTTGTCAGCAATCTTTAAACTTCTAACATTCAACTTGTCTGCAATTCTTAAACATATAGCATTCAATATGTCAGCAATTCTTAAACTTATAGCACTCAACTTGTCAGCAATTCTTAAACTCTTAGCATTCAACTTGTCAGCAATCTTTAAACTCATAGCATTCAACTTGTCTGCAATTCTTAAACTCATAGCATTCAACTTGTCTGCAATTCTTAAACTCATAGCATTCAACTTGTCAGCAATCTCTAAACTTATAGAATTCAACTTGTCTGCAATTCTTAAACTCACAGCATTCAACTTGTCAGCAATTCTTAATCTTCTGGCATTCAACTTGTCAGCAATTCTTAATCTTATAGCATTCAACTTGTCAGCAATCTTTAAACTTATAGAATTCAACTTGTCAGCAATTCTTAAACATATAGCATTCAACTTGTCAGCAATTTTTAAACTCATAGCATTCAACTTGTCAGCAATTCTTAAACTTATAGCATTCAATTTGTCTGCTATTATCAAATTCATAGCATTCAACTTGTCAGCAAATCTTAAACTCATAGCATTCAACTTGTCAGCAATTCTTAAACTCATACCATTCAACTTGTCAGCAATTCTTAAACTCATAGCATTCAACTTGTCAGCAATCTTTAAACTTCTAGCATTCAACTTGTCTGCAATTCTTAAACATATAGCATTCAACTTGTCAGCAATTCTTAAACTCATAGCATTCAACTTGTCTGCAATTCTTAAACATATAGCATTCAACTTGTCTGCAATTCTTAAACTTTTAGCATTCAACTTTTCTGCCATTCTTAAACTTTTAGCATTCAACTTGCCAGCAATTCTTAAACTTATAGCATTCAATTTGTCAGCAATTCTTAAACTTATAGCATTCAACTTGTTTGCAATTCTTAAACTTTTAGCATTCAACTTGTTTGCAATTCTTAAACTTTTAGCATGGAACTTGTCGGCAATTCT